TGCCACTAGATGCTCTAACTCATTGCACATGCATTTATGATCTAGTGGAATGCTAACACCCTTGAAAATGTTTGTAAAAATATGCTAACACATGTGCACAAGGTGATACACTTGGTGGTTGGCACATTTGATCAAGGGTGGTGAAGTTTGGGTATAAGGGTAAGAAACTCTACCAGCGGAGTGTCCGACCGTAGAGTGTGGACAGTCCAACGGTGCCACCAGCGCCCTAGATAGAAAAGACGGAGGTCACTGGAAGTGACCGGATGCTGGCCTTGGTTGTACCGGCGTGTCCGGTCAGGTGTAACGGCGAAGACGCTGGCGTCGGTCAATCGACCGGACGCTGGGTCGCTCTGTGACCGAACGCTGGCAGGGTGCGTCAGGTCAGTGCTGATGTATGCTGACATAAGGCGTACAGAGGAGATGTTGAGTGACCGGACGCTGGGTGAGTCCGGTCGGGCAGGACCGGACGCGTCCGGTCGTGAAAATTCGTGTTTGGAACCTTACTACGACCGGACACTGAGGTTCAGCGTCCGGTCACTTTCCAACTGACGTGTCCGGTCATCACTTGACCGTTGAAATCGGGTGATCGACGTTTGAAGCCGATGACACGTGGCGCACATCGCACGACCGGACGCTGAGGTCCAACGTTCGGTCAATATGACCGGAGCGTTCGGTCGGCCCGTGTTCAGTGCAGTGAGGAGCCCAACGGCTCTATTTCGTAGGGGCGTCTATTTAAGCCCCATGGCCGGCTCAAGCTCACTCTCTTGGCCATTTTCATTGATATAGCAACCTTGTGAGCTTAGCCAAAGCCCTCCCACTCATCTCCATCATTGATCCATCATCATTGTGAGATTAGGAGAGAATCCAAGTGCATTGTTTGAGTGATTGCATCTAGAGGCACTTGGTATTCGTGTTTCGCTGCGGGATTCACTTGTTACTCTTGGTGGTTGTCGCCACCTAGATGGCTTGGAGCAGCGAGGATCGTTGAGCGGAGGTTGGTGATTGTCTCCGGCTCCGATCGTGGTGATTGTGAGGGGTTTTGTGCCTTCCCCAGCGGAGCGCCGAAAGGTAACTCTAGTGGATTGCTCGTGTCATTGAGTTACCTCACTTGTGGGTAGGTTCTTGCGGTGTCCTATTGTGTGGACGAGGTTCGTGCAACATCTCTTAGCCGTCGAACCACCAAGTGTTGGTCGACACAACGGGGACTAACGTGCCGGCAAGCACGTGAACCTCGGGAGAAAAATTGGTTGTCTCTTGTCCTTTGGAATTCTCCCGGTGATTGATTTAGTATTCATATTGTGATTGGTTCACTCCTCTATATGACGGTATAATCACCCTACTCACTCATTTATATTCTTGCAAACTAGTTGTGACAAGCTCTTTAGTGTAATTAGAATTGAGAGCTTGCTTTGTTAGTTTAAGTTCATCTAGTGGAGCTCTTTAGAGTAGGATTTTTGAGAGATTTTAGTGAGTAGCAACATTGCAAGTGGTGTGCCTAGTAATTATTGCAACTAGAATTGTTGGATAGGTGGCTTGCAACCCTTGTAGAGCTAGAACAAGTTTGCATTTCACTATTTGTCATACTAATCAAATTGCTCTAGTTGATTTATAGATTTTTAAATAGGCTATTCACCCCCCTCTAGCCATATTAGGACCTTTTAAGTGGTATCGGAGCCGTGGTCACCATTTGATTAAAGGCTTAACAACCTCAGTGTCAAATTATGGCTCAAGTTGTGTTCAACCATGTGGGGGGCAAACCACCGTTCTTTGATGGCACATGCTATGATTATTGGAAGAGAAAGGTGAGGATGTATCTTGGTTCAATCAATGATCAAGTATGGGAAGTGATCGAGAATGACTATGCTATCATTGATCCCGATGATCCCACCAACCAAGATAAGATCAACAAGCAATGCAATACAATGGCTCTCAACACCATATACAATGCCATTGATTCCAAGGTGTTTGAGCAAATTAAGAATTGTGAAAGAGCAAATGAGGTGTGGAAGAGATTGGAGGAAACATATGAGGGCACACCGGCGGTGAAGAGTGCCAAGCTGTATATCCTCAAGGATAAATTAACAAGCTTCAAGATGAAGGAAGATGAGAGCATTCCAGAGATGTTCCATCGTTTGCAAGTGATTGTCAATGATTTGAAGGCATTGGGAGAGAAGATCAAGGATGATGATGTCTCTCATCGGTTCTTGATGTGCCTACCTCCAAGATTTGAGATGTTGAGATTGCTCATCATAAGAGGAGGATTGAAGGAGATTACCCCCAACCAAGTATTAGGTGATGTCATGACCCAAGAGACATACCGTGTGGAAAGGGAGGGGATGACAAAGATGACAAGAAGGAAGAAGAAGACAAGAAGAAGAAGAGTATAGCATTCAAGGCTAGCTCATCATCATCCAAGAACAAGGGCAAGTCCAAGAAAGAATCAAGTGATGATGATGATCTTAGTGATATTGATGATGGAGCTATGGCCCTCTTTGTCCGCAAGATGGGAAAATTCATGAATAAGAAGGGTTATGGTGCAAGAAAGAGAAGAGATCACACCAAAAGCAAAGAATATGTGAGAAGATGCTACAATTGCAAGAGCCCCGATCACGTTGTAGCAAATTATCCATACAATAGTGACAATGATGAGGATGAGAAGAAGAAGCTTAAAAAGGATAAGAAAGAAAAGAAGGAGAAGAAGGAGAAAAGAATGACCTTCCAAAAGAAGAAGAAATGTAGAGCTAGAGCAAGTTTGTATTTCGCTATTTGTCATACTAATCAAATTGCTCTAGTTGATTTGTTGATTTTTAAATAGGCTATTCACCCCCCCTCTAGCCATATTAGGACCTTTCACCTGTACCTTCGTGCGAAGAAGTACCCGGGCCTACAGTGGTGTCTGAGAGTCGTGTCAATAGCCCGTGCATGTCCATCGCTGCGATTGTCCTGCAACCACATTGACCAGCTACACGGCGTAGGCGACGGGCTAGCCTCTGTAGTTCAACATTTTGTCAGTCAGCAAGGTACAATGAGGGTAACATATTAATATTATGAGGGTTACAACTTACTCCAAGAAAGTTGGGTGTCCTCTCGTCGACGCATGTCCTTGAGCAACGTTGGATGTCAAGCACGGACTGCTTCAGCGTGTTGCCCTGCAAACAACGAGAATAAGTGTTAAATTGCTAAAATTAGAGCTATCATGGTCTTTATGCGCTGTGATTGAAAACAAATATTGAGAGTTCACATTACCACTTGGTCTAAGATCGGTGCAGACTCCACCTGCGTCCTTGCCCTCGTCGCCAAGTCGTACGACGTGCCTTCATCGTTCGAAGACTCAATACTGCCTCCATGGTATAAGGTTACTAGATTGTCCATCTAATCCATACAAAAGACAATGGTTGTTAAGGCCTTGCCTTGTAGGATACTAAAATTATGAAATTAGCTAACTCCCTACGTAAATAAACTACCTACCTAACTATACAACTAACTAAAATAGCTAACTATCTAATCAATTAAATAACTAACTAAATTAACTAACTAATTGACTAAATTAGATAACCAATACACAACTGATCAATTTACTAACTAACTCAAGCTAACCAATACACTAACTAATCTATTAACTAACTAAATTTTGTAACTAAATTTGCTAACTAATCAATTAACTAACTGAATTTAGTTAACTAACTAAATTGTTGTTAACTAAGTTAAGTTAAAAAAAACATACCTGTCAGGCAGTGGGTGTGCTGTCGGGGTAGTGGGATGGTGGTTGCGTCGGGGCACTAGGGTGGGGGCGGCACGGCCTGGAGGCCAGCCGATGTGCACTAGGTGGTCGCCCTCGCCACTGGTGCTCGCTGGCGACGAGGGCTAGGGTTGCGACGAGGGCGGCCTACGGGGGCGATCACGAGCTCCGAAGTTTGGCCATTACCGCTAACGGATCCTGGCGGGGGCGGTGCTAGGGCAGCAGAGGTGGTGGCACAGGCGGTGGCCGGAGGTGGTGAGGGATGTGGCGGTGGCCGGCGAAAAGAGCTAGAGAGAGAGAGCGCTACGAGGGAAAGAGGAAGACGACGACGCGGCAATATAGGTTACCTAGCTCAGCGCCGAGCTACCCGCCACATCAACGCCACATCATCTGCCACACCAACCAGACTAGATACCTCGGCGCCATGACCTATGGCGCCGAGACATGTTACCTCGGCGCTGTAGGTCGCGACGCCGATCCTAGGGCCTAAAGTCAGGATTATGAACCCTAGGGGTGTAAACGTAAACTTTTGACAAAAAGGGCTAAAATGAAAAAAATCGAGCAACTGAATGAGGGGCAGCAGGTCCCGTCCCCCCACCAACCACAAAATAGTGATTTTTTTATATCATGTAAAAATTGAATTATAGAGCACAAAAAATTATCTTTTCACCTATTTTTTATGATAATATTATGATTTTTGTTATGAATACTAGATACATATGTAAAAGCATTGAAAAAACTATTAAGACATACAATTTGTATACATTTTCACATTTACAAAGTGTCATCATAATGCGCCCCCGCCCCCCGCCTTCCGCCGGATATACTACTATCTAGATCGATGGTATATGGGAGTACCTTCTAAGTTGTTACAAAAACGAGTCATGATAATGAAAATTTTCTACAAAATAAACACAGCCTCAACTAAAAACTATCAAGACCAATATTGCCTTGGAAGAAAAAAGGATATGAGTTTATCCAGCCTTTTACAGATTGCTAATACACAATAATCACCAGGCGACCTCGCTTCCATTTCTACTGTTACACTCAGTGTTACAACTAACGGGTTTAAAATCAGTTTTTTTCCTTCTTTTTTGCCAGGGGTCACCTTAATAAACAATCTACCAGGTACATGCACAACTAACTGAGTCATATAAGCACTTCTCAAATTAGACACCCTGTATCCTCACCAAACTATCCTACATACCTACCCAGGGGATCAGTTTGTCTCCAGCAACTGTACTGAGCATGTCAAGGGTAGCTACGAGGTCATCACCTTGTCATTGTCATTGGCTTCTGTTCCGGGTTGTGGTGTCAGTGTGACATCCATTGGGTTCGCTTTGGTCTCAGCGGTTTCATATTCTGAGAGGAGGTCCATGAACTCGTTGAGCAGCCGCTGCACTTTCCAGTTCGATGCCATCGAAGGAAGTATATCTTCCTTAAGAAGTTTTTGCTTCTTCATTCCCTGTAGAATTGCCATCTGTTATATTACAGACTGGAACATCATGTCAACTACGTAGGAAATATGAGAACTGAGGGCCTATTTGGTTCGTGACCAGGCAGGCAGGCAGTGATCCTGGCCACCAGGTAACCAAATCAGACAGCCTGGGATTGATGCCTAGCCCTGGCTCTGGCAAGCAAACCTGCCTGGGCACAGAACCAAACACGCCCTGAGTGCTATCTATTTATAGGTCATGCACCCTCATGGTTATCTAGAAAGGGCACTACTTGTGACAAACTGAAAGTCTTTCTTTTTGTGGACAAAATTGTAATTGGACGAGTCTAGTATGCAAATGGCCAAGGAAAGGGAGACTTACAAGAACATCAGGATCCCACGCTAGATTTTTGGGATCAGTAGGTGATGTTGAACCAACCATGCCCACCGGAGGACCTAGGAAGCTCTCACAAACTTCACGAAGACGAGATTCATCTGCTTCTCTGCATGCAAAAAAGACCAAGTGAAAATAATTAATTCAGCAAAGCTTCCCTCGTTGATTTTCAGTAAAATGTCCAAATTCAACTATTTTCCCAATCAATTAAAAAACAGAGCCAAGGATGAGGACCGCAAAATAAATGCTAAAGGATAATTCATGGAAATGTACAGTAAATAAAAATAAAATGAACTAACCTAGCTAAAAATCGTACGTAAGATAGGAGGCATTGGCGGTACTCCTGTGCAGACTTCAAAGCCAAAGAAGAGGCAAGTTGGGTTTCCAGATGGGCGTGCGTCTGCAACCCATCATCTGTAACCCTGAAACAGAAGCAGCCACCCAAATAGATTCAGACAAAATTGTGATATGTAGCACAGTAGCATGTCATAGCAATAGTTTCAAGAGCCTTTTAATACTAAAGTAATCGAAGGTAATACTCTGACCTGCTCCAAATAGGCTTTCTAGCCATGAACTTGCCTATGTCAATCTGCAACTTGCCTAGCTCCCCACCTTGTGGGAAACTAAACGAGCTAGCAAAATTTGATGCTGGAAAACAATCATCAGCAATCCTTAACCAGCACTTCATGCTCATGTCATAAAGAAAAGCATGACGGCTGGCAAGGACAACTAAGGGTGATCCACATCTTGAGAATGTGGCAGATATAACCTTTACTGTACCTGTCAACAAAGCAAGGACAACTAATAAGCGCCAGCTATTTCAGCAAACGCAAACATGCAGAATCTAAGATGGAACCAAGCTCAGATTAACCATCTCAGGTAGCACATGACAACGAAGACTAGATATAAAATAATTACCAGCATCTTTTGCAGATGACTCATCTGGAGATGCAACCAAAGAAGCTAAGGAGTCCTGCAAAATGCAGGTCCTGTCATAGAGGTTCCATATGTACATTAGACCTCTCCTTGTGACAAGAAGCAATTTCCAGCAGTCGTCACAATCAATAAAAACAGCTGCAGATCCCATCATCATTGCTGGCATTGCTCGCATTCCACATTTTGTGTAAACCTAACTAATTCAGAACAAATAAATTTAAGTGCTGATTGCTTAAGACTTAACAGATTGTCAGAAAATAAAAGGCACATTTCAGCAATAATTGACAGACATAGAAGCATCCAAATTGAAACACAGAATCGATTTGAAAGAAATTCTGACAGGGGATATTACTCACCTGCAGGAAACCATCTTCGCAACCAACAGCCCAGAAATTTGCATTGCCTGCCAAGACCGTAACCTTTCCAGAGATACGATCTGACCAAAGAGTTTCTGTACCTCTTATGCACTTAATCTCAGTTTCTTTTGTTGAAAACGCACCACCAACACCAATCATATCTCCAGCACCACGTTCTACAGGCCTCGCTTCAAGGCAGACAGGCAAAGCATCCTCAATGTCATTCTTATTTAGTACATGGATAGAAAGCGCAGAGCAGGAGGTCAAAGAGCTTGGGACCACAGATCTTGCGTGTTCTATACTCAGCCTTACATCATTACCAGCACTGGTTGAAGCTTTTTGAATAACAAGACTCTCAGTTATGTTTGCCCTTGCTGTGACACTAGAGCGATCCCTAACTCCACAGTTATTACAGTTGCTATTACTGCCATAAGATGGTCTTGTTCCATTCATTCGTTGATCCAGGGATGAAAAATCAACAAGATGATTCTGAGAATGGTTGGGTGTGTTATCCTGGTTGGAAGCAAATCCAACTGCCTCTGGGATTATTCGTTTCCGGCCATCAGGGCGCCGGTATTCTCTCTGTTTCACTGGACTAGATAGCTGGTTAGCTTTTTTTACATCATCAGCAGTGGGACCCGCTGTCTTCTTAGAGTCTTCAGGTGATGCCTCAGGAACTTTGAGACTTTGCACAACCGGAGCTGGGTTAGGCACACCTGCAGAAACTTTCGGGGGCGCTTGAGCTTGCTCGACAATTGAAATCCCCTTTTTTCCAGCTGATTGTTTTGCTGATGCCTGTTCTAGCAGCAATTGTGCAGGGCTTTCGGCCAGATTTGACTGCCATCCTCCAACATCACCATACCTGTTCCTCTTCCATTCATCCATTTCAGAGTCACTTAACCTGTATCCAAGCTCCTTTGCTTCAAAGTGAAAGTTTGCAACTGATCCATCCATGGAGCAGGCAAAAAGTGAATAACCATCAGGGCTCCTGCAAGGGAAACAAACAATATCAACATGAGTTTGAGCATACAAAATAATAATGGTTGTAGAGAAATAATCGCATCTCATACCAAGATAAATCAACCACACTTTGAGAGAAAAAATGCTTAGCAACAAATATTGGACGGGCACTCGCTGTCGTCCAAACAGTAATAGTTCTGTCTTGACTTCCAATAGCAATAACATTATATGGTTCCTGTTCTTTTGTTGATGTCTTTGATGCTCCATTGGCCCATCCAGCTGGTGCAGCCTTTGGGTCTTGGTCATTTGAGAAATTCTTACGGAATGCTGAGTTATTAAACTTAACCACCACAATAGGCGCATTATGCCCTAGAAAGTCAAAAGTTGCAGCCCACTCGCCTCTTTCAAGCACAGGTGCTGAATGCCTAGGTTTCTGGAAACCATGAGTTGTAGTTATGAGGTGGCCACAAGGTGACCAAGCAAGTCGTCTAAAAAATGTTGAACCAAGCTGCAGGAACAAAGAAAATGAGAAAGGCATTTAGTAAGACATGTTGATCACAGCTAGAGTTAATAAAGAAAAGTCAAAAAACACGACATACAGATTTTGCCCAATGGCCTTCTGTCTTGTGAGCAAGACTCCAGTCACTTGTACGCCATATCATAACAGTCTTATCATCTGATTGGCTTGCAATAAAAGAACCAATAGGATCCCAGGTAACCCCTTTCACTAAGCTGGAGTGCCCTCGCAAGACAGCAGTGCAAATGCCGTTGTTCATGTTCCATATGTGAATGGTATTATCCAAGCTACCGCTGGCCAACATTGAATCATCAGGGGACCAACTAAGATCTACCTACTTCATGCACAAGAAATGGAAAAGGTGTTCAATAGTTTAAAAAATAATTATCACAAAAGGTAATAATAAGATGTAAAGAACAAACATAAACATGGCTGTGGAATTTTAGAAGACAATTACCACATCAGCGGTATGCCCTCTCAAGGTCATAATGACCTTCCAGTTTTCTACATCTGGTGGTTGTCCACTGCCAAACTCAGGTATACCTGAGCCAGCTTTTCTCTCATGAATTAGGATAACCTGATCATCTGATCCTGAAGCAAGGTAGCGGCCATGCTTGGCCCATCTCACACAGTTTACTGATCCAAAATGATCACGCATTGTAGCAAGCAACCTTTGATTGGAATCATCGTTGGTACTGTCCTTATGCACAGATTTCATGCTCCATATTCGAACCTATTTCAACAACGAAGCAAATAAAATGAACTTAGTAAGGAGAAGGTCACCTATGAAAGAATAAAAAAGGGCGTACCCAGTGCAGAGAGCTCCCGCTCTGTGCGGGGTCTGGGGAAGGGTGTTAGTGGCAAACAGTGATAATACATCAGTATTACATAAACAACAGTTTACCAACACATATGACTCAAGAGGATAAGAAATTGCAACAAACTTAATGTTAGATTTTCGATTATCACTCAACAACACAGTTACCATCTTCCTCGGTAAAGAATCACATTAATGCCAAACCTTTTAGTTCATTCAGCTAATCCTAGTAAGATATAACACAGCATGCTAGCTAAAACAGACTGAAAACAGAACAAATAACTCTAAAGGACCTTATGACATTTAAATTTGAGACGAGAAACAATGATTGCACAACAAGACCCTGTTAAAAGTCAGGTTATCTCATTGATCCAGAGGTTATCTCAGATACTCCCAATAGCCAATTTCACCCTAATTTATATTACCCGGAACAAAACAAGCTGGACCCAACAACATAGACAAATCCTCACTAAAGCACAAAAAGTTACCAACACAGCAGTTAGCGCAGTGAACACACAACAAATGTTAAATTATTAGCACTGAAAAAATTGTAAGGGCATGTTTGGATGTTGTAGTTTTGAGGGACCTTGGTCTGAAGAAATTGTTACTTTAGAACCGAGAAGAGAAGTGAAACACAGTTTAAATAAATGTGCTCTAGAGTGAAGTTTCTAAAACTCCAAAATGACTAAAGTTTTAGCAATACCATGGTTTTAGAATCTACCGGGTTTGTTACACCCAAACACCTCATTCTTTCCAAAAACCAAGTTATCACACAAAACCATAGTATTTTTCTGTTACTCTCAAAAGGTCAAAAATGCTTTGTGTCCAAAAAGGGCCAAAGCATGAAACCAAAAGCCAAATATATAGAAAATTTTTCCATTCCAACATGTTCAAAGAGTAATTGAAGATATACACTAAGACTCAAAGCAAGTTGAAGGGGGAAAAACAGAGGATACCTTCTGATCACCACCGCCGGTGGCGAAGCGGAGGCCGCCGGTCTGGATGTCAATGGAGAAGATCTGCAGCCCCTCGTGGTGAATCCAGCTTGGTTTCTCTAAAATCATCTCCTCCAAGCAGGGGCAGGTCCAGTATAGAATAACTTTGCAGAAAAAGATGTCAAAGTTAGTGGGTATGGTACACATAAGCATTTAATCAGTTGCGTAGCCAGGATTTTATCTCTGGCTGTGCTGATTCAGTACTCCAAAATTTTCATAATGCCGGAAATTCAGTAAGATGAAATTACCAAAAGTACAATACAGATACACAGGTGGTTCTAGTTCTTGGGTTTGACCCTCAACCACAACTGAAGCAGCTAAATGCCGAACTTCCGGAGTACCCATCCCACTAAACCACGAGGAATTGCAACAAGTAGCAAATATGAATTCAGAACTACTGTAGCAAGGCACATAGCGTGTGACGTGAGCACCTGATTGCTTTCCGGCCTGCTGGCAGCAATGGAGGATGGAGGTTCAGCTTCGCCGAATCGCCGTGCCTCCAACGCTTCACCTGCCGGCGCCGGCAGTCGGCGTGCCCCGCAGCTGCCCGCCGTCTCCTGCCGACTAGCGCGCACGGCGTGCCTGCCGGCGAGAACGCGACCAGCAAGCCGCAGGCGCTCACGCGGCGCGCCTGACGGTGACGCTGCGACCTCGGCAGCCGGCGTTAGGGTTAGAGAGGCGGAGAGGGGATCGATTCGAACTGTCCCAACTCCCAAGTCGAAATCGAAGTCGAAGGTTGGGGAGCGTCGAGCGGGTCGGCTGTGAGGACGAACTGTGTGCGGACTGACTGGGAGGAGCGTGTCGACCTGTGTGGGCTTTCTTCATTTTCTGGGCCATATGGGCTGTATACTAGTAATGCTTAGGCCCAAATCCAGAACTTCGCATTCCTGGTTCGTGGCCCACTATGGCATCTTCTCGTGCTCCTCCGGGTTAGATTGGCCGGACAATAAGGGCCTGTTTGATTTCGGGGCTGTGGCCGGCTTGGCCCGCCGGCCGGCCCCAAGCCAGCCAAGGCCTGGCTGAGAGTGGACAAGGCCCCTTGTTTGATTTCTTGTGCCAGTATAGCCAGGCCCGAGTGATCCTATGTTTGTTTTCAACTCAACAGCCAGGCCCATCATCGAAAAACGAGAAGCAGCAGCCCAAAATCCGGAGAGAGCCGAGCCCTCAAAAAACGAAACCTGATTTCGTTTCCCCGCGTACAGGAGAGAGAGGGAGATGTGCACCGGCCCAGCTTGGCTCCCAAGGGTCCAAGGGATATCAAACAACAGAAGTAGCAGCTGGGGGCGCAGCCAGGCCCTATGGGCCAAAATCAAACACGCCCTAACCAGCCAGTCCCAGGCCCAGCAGTCTTCCTCCAGCGGTCCAGCCAGCTTCACCACCTCTGCCATTCTGATATTATTATATTCTAAATTCTAATCCACATAGGTTAGAAGTAGAAGGACAACCATATGGTTGCAATCAAACCAACCTTATACGAAGTGATTCTAGAATGATTTTGGTGGTGATTAAATAGGGAGAAGTGAGGAGTGGGTGTTTTTTTAGCTTTCAGTGTAAGTAGAGAAGTGATTATTATCTACTCCCCACTAAAACCTATTTCAATTTTTGTTGTTTCACTGAGCATGAATGATTCTCATGGAGAATGTGCTCTAAAGAGTTCTGCCAAACTGCACCTAACCTTCTAACTCATAGCATAAATGACGAAGCAATTCTTTTCTGATCCTATCATAATCTAGTTGGATTTTACTGGTTTATCTGTCTAGACGTGAGAACACTTCCAAATGACACTTAGGGTATGTTTGGTAGGGATTCAGATTCTTGTAGAAACGTTTCAGATTAGATCACTTCGTAAAATCATTTGGCTGGTAGGCTAGATTCTGATAACACATTCGGAAGACAAGAGAAATGGAAGAGAATCGGTGCGAAACCACCCTCCAGCGGATTCAGAAACTCAAGCAGAGCAGGTGAAACGTCTCGCTCTTCACCCGTTTGGCGCCATTCCAAGCAATTCCTAAAAGATTTGGAATGGTTTCGAGTAACCAAACGGCCCTTTAGAATATGTTCGGCAGAGCCCAAAGCAACTTCTAAGTTGAGTCTAGAAGGAACGCTACCAAACGGTATTTTATAGAGAAGTGATTTTTTGAAACCAATCATGAAGCTAGGGGATGAAAAGATTAGCTTTTCCTAATTCATTTCGCTTCAAGAGAATCATTTCAACCATATAATTACTTTCGACACTGAATTATTTCTCTCGTTTAGTCACTTCTCACCGTAAATCAGAAGTAGGAGTCCTACAATGCCAAAACTGATCCTTAGGCTTCTCCATCTTACTGGTGATGCAGCTTACCGTTTTTTTTTAAGAAAGCTTTGCAATTCACAAACGGTTGAGGAAGATCACGCACGTGGCAACAAACGCTATCTCCAGGTTTTTATTGCAAACGTCAACGAACTGGATCAGCTGGTGATGACTTAGAGAATGCGCGATCAATTCAATGAACTGATCCATATTGAACAGATCGCCTGTTTTTTTTTCCAACCGCACCGGAGATAAAGTATCGGAAATCGGCTAATAATCTAGCGACCGGACGTCAAAGCGCTCAACCCCCTGCGTCCACTTCTGCCCCTGACCCACGCGCACCCCCTGGCCGCAGCACCCGCGTCCACCGCCCCAAGCACCTCCGTCTGCTAGGCCCCCGGCCGAACAACATAAAAAGCTCGAATAGAACACTTGCAACAATACAGAACAACTGCTGCAACATTAGGTTGAAAGAGCTAAAACATTTGGAACATATTATTGCAATATTGGTGTGAAACATACCAAACAACGATCGAATAAAGACACTTGCAACAACATGGAACAACTGTTGCAATATAAGACTGAAGCAACTAAAACATTTAGAATGTATTATTGCAACATTTGTGCGAAGCATATAAACCATCCAGATCAGAAACGATTGCAACATCGTCTAGAAACATGTGAAACATTTTGAACAAAGTGCTTGCAACAATCATTTGAAACATATGCAACAAATGCAACATTTTCCGATCTATTTTTGCAACATTCATATGTTTCAACTGCAACATATCTCTGAAGCGTCTGAAACAACTGGAAGGTAGAATTACAACATGGGGGGAGAGAAGAGAGCCAGGCGCGGGGTACGCCATGGCCACTGGATCTGAGAGCGTCGGGAGCTCCTTGTAGGGGAGGACGTTGGTGTGGGGGAGGAGGACGCCGGGGTTGGGGAGGAGCCACCGGTGTGGAGAGAGGAGGATGCTGCGGTGTGGAGAGGAGGACGCCGTGGTGGGGAGGAGTGCCCGCGCCGGAGTGGTTGAGGCGCTGCCACCGGCCAGGGAAGAAGCGACGCGGCACGCGCAACGGTAGGGAGCGGAGAGGCACGCGAGCAACCAGTGGGCGCACGCGACGGAGAAACACGAGAAGAGCGACAACGCGAACCGAGAGGATAAGGACGCCCTATCGGTTTGGCGTACGCGCGCAGGATTGGTGCGTCCGGCCACATAGAAGCCCGGTTTTCATCATTATCGATCGGAAATACGTGTGCAGGCATGGTCGCGAAAAGAAAATATAAACTATCGGTTGCCTCTCGGTGACCGGAATATACTGGCCGGTAGACCACGACGGACAGCCGATACTCAGATACTTCTAACGTTCTCTTTTATATAAAGCACACATATATAAAGATTTAAACTTTACAATCTTTAACCATTAATTCAGCTAATAATTTTAAACTATTATGATATAAACTTGATATTGTTAAATGTATAATTAAACACGCTATTTAATCATCATAAATAAACTTGTAAGTATAAATAATATAGTACAAAATAAATAAATAGTTAATGTGTAATTAGGAAGACAATATGATATCAAACTATGTTTTATAGAGAATAAGAGCAACCTCAAGAGAGTCTTTATACTCTTTCTACTTTACAGGAATAGAGAATTTGTTGAAAAACAATCCAACGTTCTTTTTAAATTGATTCCAAATATGGACACCCTCTATTTTGGATTTTTCACTAGCTGAAGATAAAGAGCGAGGAGATATCAAAAAGTTGTTGAAGTGTACAAAAACATAGAAAGCAATTTTACTCAAATGACTTTCTAAATGATGGCTTAGAGAGTAAATTTTAAAAAGACTCTTGGGGGACTCTTGGAGATACTCTGGAGGAAGTAAGTGGGTTGCTATATTTTAGATGCCTGATTTTTTGAGAATTTTCAGGCAACAACTGACCAGAGACAGCTATTACAATTAAGAGGACAACTAATTACAGAATACAGATGTTTCAAACCCCTGCCAATTCCCCTTGATAAAGTTATCCCTTTTTTAGTAATAGCACTATTTTTGGAAATCAATCACATGTCTTTTTAAAAAAGTCAGGCGCATCAAGCTTCCCAAATCCTGTTGTTTCATGATCCCCACACTTATATAAGAGAACACATGGATATAACAAAGAATTTTCCATGTTTCTTCCACATCCACACCGGACTATATATCTTCCTTATTTGACATCAGCCAAACAGCCCGTTAGTCTTGGACAGTAGTTTTCTCCAAGTCTCTTGCTTTGCCGAAGAAGCCTCCTCCGCGACGCTCAATGTTTTTAGACGATTCCATACAAAGCGTAGCGTAGTAGTAGAACTTCTGGATCGACGACAACGATGACAGTGATATGTGCTCCGTGCTCGCGCGTCATTAATGAATGAAATAGAAACAGAGGTCCACGTGACACAAAATGTCCTTGAATAATCCTTTGATTTTTGAAATGCCAAGTAGTAGGGCTTGCCTTGCAAAGGCTTAAGTACAGCCCCAGCCCCTACTAATTCGTTTACCTTTCGCTAATCTAAAGCGTTATAAGCTTGCTTGGTGGCTGGTGTATTGTGTGTGTGTGGTAAATCAAGGAACGCTCACCATGATTGAAAAATCCATTGACCACTTCTGGCAGCTGATCGACAGAAGTAACCTGTTGGCCAAATACCCCACGTGGCCAATGGCCACAAGCAAAAGTAGCTGAGGAACACGTTGACGCCAGCATGGACGTCAGGGCAATTGACAGCTACTCCTACTACTCCTACTCGGGCCTTGTTTAGATTACAAATTTTTGCAATCTGGACACTGTAGCACGTTTTGTTTGTATTTAACAAACTTTGTCTGATCATAGACTAACTAGGCTCAAAAGATTCGTCTCGTGATTTACAACCAAACTGTGTAATTAGTTATTTTTTTTTACCTACATTTAATGCTCTATGCATGCGTCCAAAAATTGATGTGATGGAGAGAGAGTGAAAAAACTTGAATTTTGAGGTAATCTAAACAAGGCCTCGATTGCCAAGT